ATGTGTTACTACGCCTTACATAACGTGACACAAGCGCGAGCTGCAATCTGAACGTTACAGCAAGGGGGCGCTATAACAAGAGCCAAGCCTGACCAAGCGGTCTCACACGCAGTTGAGTCTCACGCAAAGACGGCTTACATAATCATAAAATATCATACATTTATCGCATTTCCATTTCAAGAGAAGAGGTAAAGCAGCTCAATCTCCTCTACTGTCCACGCTTAGCTGATGAGGCTGTTGGAACAACAGTAGATCCCTCTCTGATTTGCCCTCTATCGCCCCCTTCAGTACTGAGTGTTTAACCGCGACAGCAGCGTAGCAACGCACGGTGAGTTCAAACGGAAGGACAGAGTTTGCAGTTTGGTGAACGAGTGCTGTCATTTGCGTTCGCTTCCATGTGTGAAGTATGTTTCGGGCCTTAATGTGTTTTTTGCTGTTCATGTTGACACACATCTGTGCACACATGAGGAAAAAGGTCAGATTCGGGTCACTTTTGCCTGCTGTGTGAACACAGTTTTAGTGAAAGCCATTGTGTTTTCTCAAGTCGAAGTTCGAGCCAGAAAGATGGCACATTGGGCGAAAAATGTCATATCCGTTCAGCCGCTGCGAGCAGTGAGTCATTTCCTTTCTGCCATCTCTGTGTTGCGTGTGTGTGTGTGTGTGTGTGTGTGTATAAACACACTCCTATATCTTTGCTGTCTCTGCCACATAGCAGTTGTAGACCATTGACTCACAATGCTGATTCCAAGCTTATTCCTGAGGGCTTAGTTAAATGAGCCAACTCTCCCACTCCTATACGTGCCTTCAGTCCTCAAGCTGCATGTAGTCTACATTCACAGATTGAGCTTAACCCCTTAAATAGTCCCGGTCCACCGCCGGGCCCAAAGTGCACCTGCACACCTTTATAACTTAATACACTCTTTAAAAAAGCTACGTCTTCAAGGGTTCTTTAATAATGAAGAGGATTTTATATAGAACCTTGAACTCTCAAATAACCGTTGATTCATTCTAGCAGTATAGTTTGAATGTGCTGTCGATGGTTCCTCATTGAACCTTTTTAAGAAGAGTTCTAAGTGGCACCGAAAAGGCTTCTTCTATTCTTACAAGCTTGATATCAGTAGAAGAACCCTTTTTTGGTGCTATATAGAACCATATACAACACATTTACCATCAATCTGAAGTTTTTTGAGGGTTCATGGTTACATAGAGTGCATAGAACCATTTTCTTTACTAAAGAACCTTTTAAAGAACCCTCTTTTTAAGAGTGTAGCTCAGCCAGTTTGCCTTGAAGTCCCTGTAGTGACTGAATAATAAGCCTTAGAGTCTAATAAGCCTGGGATTTTAAGGGGTTGAGATGGACCTTAATCTGAGCTTTGGTGTGCCTGATGTGGCTCCAGCCTGCACAGCCTCCATTTGCTGTGCTGCACACCTTGCAAACAGGAGGCAGGTAAATGAGCTCTTGGCTGTGTGCACAGTCCTTGTTACGTGTTCAACAAGGACATGTAGACAGTTGTTTTGGATCAGCTGCCGTTTCTAGCCAGATGTCGAGTCTGCAGTCTGCCCTTACATTTGCACTTGTGTGTTGGAAACGTTTGGCTTAACACGTCGTCGCACATCAGTGTTTTTGATGCCTTTCTTAATGACCAACTGTGACCAAATGCCTTGTCAGTTTATATATCCTTGTGCAGCAGGAAGTCCCCTGGTTTCCAGACGCGAGACTCGGTTCATATCAGATGTTGTAGAAGCAGGTTGCTGATATTACCCAGCCTACCCAGTTGAGTGTAAATAGACGAGAATGTAATCTTACCACTACGCATGTGCTCCTTTAATTTTTAATCAGGCTCCAGCACACTGAAACCTTAGCGCTCGCCTCTGAAGGGCCATGGAGGAATGGAATTTCACATGTGGTTTCACTGTTATCCATCACAGCGTTTGATTGTGATGAATATGATCATTTTAATCTTTCCCTTTTTAATTTTTGTGCACAAATGATGTTTTGGTATAGCCTGTGTGAGGCATTAGTCAGTCAGGAGTTGCTGCTCTCCTGAGATTTTTAATGATATTTGGAGACTTCTGGGTACAGATCAAGGACTTGCTGTGGCATGCTGAGCTTCAGATTCGCTATTTGTTATAAGTGACGATCTCGTTTTCAAGTGTGAACGCTGTTGTGGGTAATTTAGGGTCTGAATTGGAACAGTAGGTGTCAAAACAGCCAAACCAAAGTATGAGGTTATATATAACATTATGGCCACCTCCTTGTTTCTACGCTCATTGTCCATTTTATCAGCTCCACTTACTATATAGGTGCACTTTGTAGTTCTGCAGTTACAGACTGTAGTCCATCTGTTTCTCTGCATACTTTGTTAGCCCCCTTTTACCCTGTTCTTCAGTGGTCAGGACCCCCATGGACCCTCACGGAGCAGGTACTATTTGGGTGGTGTTGTGCTGGTCTGAGTGGATCAGACACAGCAGTGCTGCTGGAGTTTTTAAACACCTCAGTGTCACTGCTGGACTGTGGGCAGCGTCCTGTGGGCAGCGTCCTGTGGGCAGCGTCCTGTGGGCAGCGTCCTGTGGGCAGCGTCCTGTGACCACTGATGAAGGACTAAAGGATGACCAACACAAACTGTGCAGCAGCAGATGAGCTATCGTCTCTGACTTCACATCTACAAGGTGGACTGACAAGAAAACTCCAGCAGTGCTGCTTTGTCTGATCCACTCGCACCAGCACAACCACGTCAGTGTTAATGCAGTGCTGAGGACCTGCTCTGTGAGGCTCCATGAAACAAAATTTCATGTGAATTGCATGATATAAAGCTTCCAACTGCAACTCATTTGAAACTCCGCCACAATGGAATTAGCCTGCTTTTGTGATCTACTTAGCTGGATCATTTTTATTTATCCTTTTACACAGAGCGGAGATTAATTTTATAGAATAACAGAATGAAAATGATTACAGAAGACCAAGATTTGCTTCTCGATGAACTCGGTGCTTCTAGATGAGCGAGACATGAAACACAATCGTGGCTTAAACATTCATTTTCGAAGGCTTAACATTCACAAAACAGGCTAAAAATTCATATGTATGATAAAGGAGTGCTTAAAAATATGGTTGTGACAACTGGAACAATTATGCACAGACGACAAAACTGCAAACATGCAAATGTAAATCACATCATAGATGATTTTACAAAGCAAGATTATTGAAATGTATTAATATATATTTGGATAATTTACAGAGAACTCAAATGTGTTGCATGTATGTTTTGATTTCTTTGTGTAGCTGTTAAGTTGCATGGAAGTTATATTGCATGCAACACGCAACGTGCAACTAGTTGCCTTCAAGTTTCACTATGTAAAGCCTGCCTAATGTCCACACGCAACTTGGCTGCCTTGCAGATTTCTTTTTCATAAGCATCTAAAATGCCTGAAGGATCCTGTGGATCTAAAGGATGCGTAGCTTTCCAGAAGCAGGTTTAAAGAAAAGGATGCAGACAAAAAAAAGAGAAATTGCATTAGAACACAAAAACTGAACATCTGAGGTTGGACTGATGAGTTTAAAAATATAATTGGGATTGTTTTAATTATAAGAAGTCGAACAAACCAACTTCTGAAACTGAACTTAGAGGTGTTTACAGGAAGTACAGAAAAATATCTCTCCAGTTAAAAAAAACAGAGCGAAACGAAGTCTGACAGTAACAGAAGCTGTAATAACGCCAATGGGGGGAAACGTTAAATACTGCAAATATCTATATTATAGATATTGTAGTAAGATGTTGAGGCTTTTTAGTTTTCTGTTTTTTCTTTTTTCCTGGTGCTGAAAAATGAGTAACTTGTGCTTCGTCATTTTTACTGGAAATGACTTTTGCACAGTACTACAACTAAAAAAATGTGCAAACTAACCTAGTTAATCTTGAATGATTGTTTTACTGTTTAGATTCATCTTTTAATATTAAAAACTGTGATATGACACTTTATTATTTCACATTATGTTACTATCGTTTGTTTCACTGTAGAGTGAGCATGTTTCTAGTCACAATTGGCCTTTAGAAATACTTGAGGTTAGACAAAAAACGTCCCACTTTAGACCAAATAAGATTACTGTTCATTGAAACAATTTTTTAATCTTCAGCTTCTGGTGTTCTGAGTTGCATGCTGGTGATGGGCCAAGATTGATCTAGACCAAAAGTCCTAGTGCCATCCAGTATATTTTGTGTGAAGGTAGAGCTGAGTGATATGGAAAAAATATTATTTTACAATACATGATATGCCATAATACTTTATATAACAAATCGCATAATAATTTTTTCTGATATCCCACAAAATGGAACAGTTGGGGGAAAAGAAGTGCCACATTTTAAAAGTACTTTGAAAAAATGAATACAGTGATTTGTATTCAACATTTCACATCCTGCACTGCTAAAATTCCAGTTGAGCAGCACTAATTATGATTTCTTTGCAATTTTTTTTTCTTTTCTTTTGAAGTACTGGTGACATCCACAATATACTAAAAGAAGCATATCGCTGCTGTCGGAACAAAACCTCATCTCCATTTTTGCCGTTTTTCAGTTTTTGACGTAAGTTGTCCTGTACGTTGTGTCTACATTTCATGATGAATGGACCTAAAGAAATGGTCCAAAATTACTCAGAAAAAAGTCTGGTTCCATTGACTTACTTTAAAAGTAAAGCATGTTTTTTCCTTCTCCTGTAAAGTTACCATTTTGGACCTACAAGGTTTTGTTCCAGCAGCAGCGATATTGTCACAATATGGCCCAGCCCTTGGTCAAGTTGTAGGTTAGGCTGAAATATAATTTCGTATGAAACTTAAGTATTTTTGATGGTTCCTGCAATTACCCATTGACCAAGTCGCTTGATAGCTGCTTGCTTGATGGCTGTAGCCTGCGACTGCTGACGTTTTGGAGTGGGATCTCATTTGTCTTTGTAAATGTGCCTAATGTTACTCCTTCAGTATCTCATTGGCTCACATTGTGTCTTCATTGCAGAGGATGCCAGCTCCGATCAGACTGCGGGAGCTGATCCGGACAATCCGGACGGCTCGGACCCAGGCTGAGGAGCGAGAGATGATCCAGAAAGAGTGTGCTGCCATCAGGTCATCTTTCAGAGAAGAAGACAACACGTACCGCTGTAGAAATGTGGCAAAGCTGCTGTATATGCACATGTTGGGGTACCCAGCGCATTTCGGGCAGGTAAATCAAATGGTCCGCTGAACACTCGCTGCTGTCATTTCTAGAGGGGCTGCTAGAGGCTGTCTAATGTCCTGTCTCATCGAATTTCACCATGTGTGATGTGTCCAATCTCATTTTTTCAGCTGGAGTGCCTGAAGCTGATTGCGTCACAGAAGTTCACAGACAAGCGAATAGGGTACTTGGGGGCCATGTTGCTGTTGGATGAAAGGCAGGATGTCCATCTACTTATGACGAACTGCATCAAGAAGTAAGCAGCTGGCAACAACTAGGCTCATTTAACTGTTCCTTTGTCAGATGCAGCTAGCTGTCTGGTTGGTTGAGCTTCAGATAAGATGTGAGGAATGGGTTGAGGGTGTGAAGTGCAGTATGTGCTGGTTTAAAAAGTAGTTATCACTCCTCTGATATTCCGCACTGCTAGGCACAAACGTGGGCCTGATATCTGTGTCAGCAGCTTTGTTTTTGCACGACTTCACCCTTACCTACCTCGTTTCATGTCTGCACTTCTGAAAAGTGGGTTTAGTGGTCCCTCACATTGTGTTACCCTTTTGTTTCTGACCCGTCTTTCTGATTTTCTCTCTCTGCCTTTTTGTGTCCATTGCAGTGACCTAAATCACAGTACACAGTATGTCCAGGGACTGGCCTTGTGCACCCTGGGCTGCATGGGTTCGTCAGAAATGTGTCGTGACCTGGCAGGTGAAGTGGAGAAGCTCCTCAAAACATCAAACTCCTACTTGAGAAAAAAGGTAGTTGCTACTTCCACTTCCCCCACTCAGATATAGCTGATGAAGTCTGTTTGAACTTTTGGATATGTGAACAATTAAGGAAACGAGACTTTGTCCCCACAGGCAGCGTTGTGTGCAGTCCATGTCATTCGCAAGGTCCCAGAGTTGATGGAGATGTTTCTGCCTGCAACGAAAAACCTGTTGAGCGAGAAGAATCACGGTTAGAGACAAAGGCCCTATTCCATTTCTTCTTTTTAACCCTACCCCTTGTTTTCGAGTGTCACCCTAACCGCTTGGAACTGAGTTACTCTTGCCCCATGAAATGGGACCCTCAAATAAAAATAAAAAGAGCATTACTTCATTAACAGTTACTAGCGCTGCTCTGTAGGCGTCCCTGCCAGTCTGCAGTGACAGCAGAGGAGGGTAAAGTTCAGCTCCTCACTGCTGGGCTTTAGTTACGTTTAGGGCATCATATGCCTTCAAAGAGGGGGGCAATTATTTATTATCACCCACCGCTAATTCTTTGGTGAAGCTAAAGGCTGATATTCACCAGTTTCTAGTTTGAATTTTCCCGTTCCACCTTAAATACTGCAGCAGTTACTTTCTGGCGCTTCAGGCGCCAGAACTGCTGGACTATTTAAGGTGGAACGGGAAAGTTAGCTAGCTAGCTACCAAGACATTTGCATGCTATTAGAGATTTCTTTTTTATGCTGTGTTATGAAGAAAAGGACAATAATGCATTGAAACGACATTAAACTAAGATAATATGTTGGTTATTGTAATTTTTAACGGAGAAAATTCTCACATTTGTGTGTTTCTTTGGTCTCTTGTTCTCCATCTTGCCGGTTTTTCTTTGGTTCTCATATCACTTTGTTTGGAGTCTCTGAAAAACCTCCGTTTGGAGGGCCATGTAGCCCTAACACTTCGCCCTACCCCTCTATCTCAACAAAAATCTGGACACCCTACCCCTAGACGTGAATGTGCAAAACAGAGGGCTAAGGGCTGAGTGGGAGGGGTAAGGAGTAAAATGGGATTGGACCAAAATCTTGTTGTGCATTGTCGGTCATTTTAGCCTTTGGATTTCAGGGTTATGTTTTTTATTTATCATTTTTCTTGACCAAAGGAAACATTTCAGTCTTTATCTGTTAACGTCAGTTTCTTGTTTTTTCTTTAATTGCTGTTTTATAATATAGGAGTTCTCCACACATCTGTTGTCCTGCTCACTGAAATGTGTGAACGAAGTCCTGACATGCTTACTCACTTTAGAAAGGTATGTGGTCATCCTCTTTGCTCCGTACCTCAGCAGTCATGGTGGTTTTTTTTGAAGTGCTAAATTGGGGTGCTAACTGTAGTGCTGTTACTGTGTGTAACAATGTCTTTGGCAGTTTGACTTTTGAATAGTAGATGTAGACGTATTTTTCAGTGGAGGTGAATATGGGCTCTCCTCCTCTTCTCCTGTTCTCACTGTGTGTACCTATTGCTATGCTCTCCCTCAGCCTGAACTGCTGTGCCAGCACGCCCACCTCTCATACTCATGATCGTAACATTTATTTTAAGCTCTTCTCTGAAAGTGAACTCTCTCTTCCAGTTCCCCCCCCTAACATCTACTTCATATTTTTTCTGTCATTTGTCTTTGTTACAATTCCTGCATTGTGTTAGAATGAAAAGGTAAGAGGACATTCTGGTTTCATAGCTGGTGCATGCTCTTAAAGAAACTCACCTCACCGTGGTCACTGTAGATGTAGTTCACTTCTTGGTTTTGAAGTATTTTCTTTTCTTTGTCTTTCTAAATGTTATTTGTTGTTTTTTTTGGTTTTGGTTCTGAATGTCATCACAAGAATATGTATACTTTGCATACATGTTTCTGTAGTCCAGCATTCACCATTAGACTAATTTTAATTGCCATTCATCTGTTAGACCTTTGTTTGTGAAAGACTGTTATTTTGGTATGTTGGTTACCTCACGGGCACAGATCAAATTAGGTTTTTGGCTAAAACTAACATGGGATTAAATGTCAATGGAACTATGGTCATTGATGTTAATTATGTAATTTATGGAGATACAGGTAAGGGTGCCTACACACTAGAGGCTGACAGCTCTGTCGGACTAAAAACGTGTCTGTATGCAGTGAAAAGACGCATCATTGAGCGTCGAAAAAGTTCAGATCATTTCAACTTTTGCTACAACGCATTCTGACGTGGGGGAACGTCAACCAGTAGAAACGTGCAGGCAGAAGACGGATGAAAATCCATGATGGAGGACAGTAGCAGCGCTGTGTACTCTTTTCCGATCAGGCATAACATTATGACCACCTCCTTGTTTCTACGCTCATTGTCCATTTTATCAGCTCCACTTACTATATAGGTGCACTTTGTAGTTCTACAGTTACAGACTGTAGTCCATCTGTTTCTCTGATACTTTGTTAGCCCCCTTTTACCCTGTTCTTCAGTGGTCAGGACCCCCATGGACCCTCACAGAGCAGGTACTATTTGGGTGGTGGGTCATTCTCAGCATTGCACTGACACTGATATGGTAGTGGTGTGTTAGTATGTGTTGTGCTGGTCTGAGTGGATCAGTGCTGCTGGAGTTTTTAAACACCTCAGTGTCACTGCTGGACTGAGAATAGTCCACCAACCATATCCAGCCAACAGCGTCCTGTGGGCAGCGTCCTGTGACCACTGATGAAGGACTAGAGGATGACCAACACAAACTGTGCAGCAGCAGATGAGCTATTGTCTCTGACTTTACATCCACAAGGTGGACTGACAAGGTAGGAGTGTCTAATAGAGTGGACAGTGGGTGGACACAGTGTTTAAAAACTCCAGCAGCACTGCTGTGTCTGATCCACTCAGACCAGTGCAACACACACTAACACACCACCACCACGTTAGTGTTACTGCGGTGCTGAGAATGATCCACCACCCAAATAGTACCTGCTCTGTGAGGGTCCATGGAGGTCCTGACCACTGAAGAACAGGGTAAAAAGGGGGCTAACAAAGTATCAGAGAAACAGATGGACTACAGTCTGTAACTGTAGAACTACAAAGTGCACCTATATAGTAAGTGGAGCTGATAAAATGGACAATGAGCGTAGAAACAAGGAGGTGGTCAGAATGTTATGCCTGATTGGTGTATGACCATCACCATAATTTCCTTTCGGTGGCCCATATTTCTTTGTTTCTGATCCAAACGTTTTGTTTCCTGCTGGATTTCGAACTGTACAAATTCCTCCCCGCTCCAGTCGTGTACACACCTTCCTAGACGGATAAGATCTGCATGCGTATGCGTCTACCGCTCCGTCTTTGCGTTGTCTAGTGTGTAGGCACCCTAAATCCCATAGAATTATATAATCTGATGCATCCATTTGATTCACTTACTTTAAACATCCTAACCAAGTCGTTGCCAGTCTTGGACCTTGGGTACCCCTGCGTTGCACATTCTTGTATTATGCCCATTAAAGTAAACCCATTTTAACCTGATAAGTCTTATTAGCTGTTGGATTGGTTCAGGTGTTTTGGGAATAGAGAAAACACCAACATGTGCAGTGTATGGAGTGCTCCAGCTCCAGGACTGGGACATGCTGTCTTAACCAAATGTGCTGAAAGAATCAGACTATTTTAAGATGATTTTCACCCCATTGTGTTTACCGTTGCTCCCCTCTTTTACTTGTTTTACTTTACTGTGTGTATCTTTTTTTTTTTTTAATTGAGTCTTAATGTGTATGATAATCTTCTGAAAGTCTTTTAATAATTTTCAATTTTATTTTTTTTTACTGGCCTTTTTCTAGCTGGTTCCACAACTGGTGCGAATCCTGAAGAACCTTATCATGTCTGGTTACTCTCCTGAGCATGACGTGTCTGGCATCAGTGATCCATTTCTGCAGGTATCCCCTCTCCTCTCCTCTCCCATGCTGCTCTTTGACATTTACAGCGTAATCAACAGAATGAGACAATTTGACAGGTCTATTTTTATAGACGTATATTGTGTACTGATCCATGATTTGTGCGCTGACTGTGCACACAGACCCCAGACAGCATTTCTTCTATCCTAAATTCAGTTGACTCAGTGGCTCATTTGTCTTCTGGATTTATTTCAGGTGCGGATATTGAGGCTACTAAGAATTCTGGGAAAGAGTGACGACGATTCTAGTGAAGCTATGAATGACATTCTTGCGCAGGTGAAACCTTTGAGTAGATCTGAGTTTACAACTCAAGGTTCTCCGCAATCAAACCATCAAAAAAATGTTTTGTTTTTTTTTTCCTCTGTAGGTTGCGACAAACACTGAAACAAGTAAAAATGTAGGCAATGCAATCCTGTATGAAACTGTTCTTACAATTATGGACATTAAATCGGAGAGTGGCTTGAGGGTGAGTGGGCTACACTTGTAGCAATGCTGTTTTGTTAAGGGGATCACACTTTCTTCCATTTTTATGTTTAAAAAAATAACACCTGGATGTTTTTCTTCTAACTGCAGGTATTAGCGATCAACATCCTGGGACGTTTTCTTCTCAACAATGACAAAAACATCAGGTAGCTGTTTTCTCCTCAGCAGGAGATGTCAAGACTTTATTTGATCTAAAACCACATTTTTGATTGCTTGTAGGGCTGGGCGATTAATCGAAAAGTAATTGAAACTGACATTCAGAACCTCTAACCGACGTAATCTTGCCCATGTGGGTATTTTGATTTATTTATTTTTAATTCTCCTTTCCCACTCTATGTTCATGTACTGTCTCCTTAAAACTTACTACCGTGCGTGTATCTCGTGACTCCGCCACGTCCAGACTGCGACATGAAAGTTGAGGCCCAAATCTGATTTTCAAATGATTTTGGGCTGTTCACTATCTTTTAAAGGTGATTTGTATACGACATCAGTCTGAACAGATCAGCTCCTAAACTGACCCACATTCACGCGGCTCATCCTGAGGTAAACTATCAAGATTGTGAACGAGTGCCAGTCGCTTCTGGAGGGCTTAGCTTCATCTTCACCAGCATCACAGGAGCCATCATGAAGCTTCACTGACTGACAGCTGAGCTCATCACCCAGAATGTGTTCGAGCTGTAAAAAGGGCGCGGCCACTTCTTTGGTTCGCGTCCTCGGATTCTTTAAACTTTGCTTTCAGACTTTTAACTGTTCTTTGACGCTGCAGCCTCGTTCTCCTGCAGCCGCGTTCGGACATTTCTTTCAAAATCTCATCCAAAACCCTCCGTGTTTGAAAAGTCTCTTCTAATTTTTGTACAGAAATATCACCCCAAATGTTTATTAGGTCTCAGCAGCACAAAATCATGACGAACGTGGAGTTGGATCGACACAAAAGCCGCGTGAATTCCGATCTGGCTGTTCAGACAATTTACATTACGATATGCAGAGCATGTTTACAGTACAGATCTTTTCAGTGAACTATGAGAGGGAAAAAAACAAACAAAAAATAATCATTAATCGTAATCGCGGTAAAACATTCAGTTAATCGTGATAATGACTTGGTCATATCGCCCAGCACTAATTGCTTGTTGGTTGATATTAGATAGGTTGGTTTCATTTTGTTAAATGGTGATTCTTAAACTGAAGATGTCCACATCATGATCTAATGGCAGCTTCTTTAGATGCTTTGTTTAGTAACAAAGCCACTTTCAAACAGTTTGAAGTAGTCGGAATTAGCTTCGTGAGTCTTGAGCTGACTATGACCTGAATTTGTGCTCATTTGCCCATTCTCTCTTCAGATACGTGGCGCTGACATCTTTACTGAAAACAGTGCAGACAGACCACAATGCGGTGCAGAGGCATCGGAGCACCATTGTGGACTGTTTGAAAGACCTGGATGTCTCCATCAAAAGGTAATTCATGGGCGCTTGCTTATTTTTAGTCCTTTTCTGACTCTAAGAGTAACACTGTTGTGAAAAACCCACCTATGGTCTCTCCTCCTCCACAGACGTGCGATGGAACTGAGCTTCGCCCTGGTCAACGGCAACAACATCCGAGGCATGATGAAGGAGCTGCTGTATTTCTTGGACTCCTGTGACCCAGAGTTCAAAGCCGACTGTGCGTCAGGGGTCTTCCTGGCTGCTGAGAAGTACGTCTGGGTTTGTTTAGTCCTCCTGCTGTGCACTGGAGGGTTTTGAGGCTGTTTGTGTGTTAGACCAGTGGGCGTTGTAATAAGTGACCAGACTTTTGAGGTTCTTTGTAGCAGCCCTTCACAGCAAAAGCTGAGGCTAGCAGGGAGTTTTTTTTATTGCACTGAAAAGCACTGAGTTTGAGGTGCCTTGGGAAGCAGAAACAGCATCAGTAGCCCATTTACCTAGTTGCTTTTAAAGCTGTTTAGACCAGAGGTAGTTGTTATAATGAGTGAGTTATTAAGCTGCTGGGTGATGATATAATGAGTGATCCATCGTCAGACCTTGACGCTGTTGACACATTCATTTCTGACAGCATGACTTACAAAAAAGGAAATTAGATAGGAACAGACAAAATTATCAGGGTATGGTTTGATCTGTTGTGACTGAGTCTTTAGTCCTATTCGGACAACATTAAGTTTGTAGTGTCCTGGGGTCATTTCTTCTTTTACAATTGACCCTCTGTGATTTTATTTCTGTCTGTTCGGCCATCAATTTTTTAAGTTTCTCCGTTTTTTCCTGATAAAATTACAGGCCGAATTACTAACTGTTTGTCACCGAACTCAGCAGTCGCCTGATAAATTTAGTCCTGTCCAGATTTCAGGGAATTTTTCAGGCAGATGTCACGCTGTGTTGGAAATTTTTTTTTTTTGACCACTGTTGTTAGGTCAACGTAACCTCTATCTTACTTATCCTTGTGATCTTTCATTCAAAATGTTAGCAGAAATTCTAACCTTTATTTAAGGTGTAATGATTGAAAGAAAAAACTACATCTCGTGATAGAAGAAAATAGCTAAACAGCTGAAAATGTCTATTTCCACTATCAGGTCAATACTTATGAAGTTTACAACAACTGGAGATGTTAAGAATCGCCCAGGAAGAAGACGTACACTATATAGACAAAAGTATTGGGACACCTACACAATACCCCTACACGAGCTTTTATGAATCCCATTCTAAATTCATAGGCATTAATATGAAGTTGGTCCCCCTTTGCAGCTGTAACAGCTTCCACTCTTCTGGGAAGCTTCTACAAGACTTTGGAGAGTCTGTGGGATTTTTTTATTTTTTATTTTTTTGCCAATTCCTCCAGAAGAGCATTTGTGAGGTCAGACACCGATGTTGGACGAGAGGTCCTGGCTCACAATCTCCGTTCTAGTTCATCCCAAAGGTTTTAAATGGGGTTGAGGTCAGGGATCTGTGTAGTCAAGTTGTTCCACGTCACACTCACCCAGTTGTGCCTTTATGGAGCTGCTTTGTGCACTGGGGCTCAGTCATGCTGGTACAGAAAGGGTTCTTCCCCAAACCGTTCCCACAAATTTGGAAGGATGCAAATGTCCAAAATGTCTTGGTCTGCTGCAGAATTGAAATTTCCCTTCACTCTAACTAAGGGTTCTAGACCAGTGCCTGGAAAAACAACCCCGTAGCATCATCCCTCCTCCACCAAACTTTACAGCTGGGACAATGCAGTCAGGCAGGAAGCGTCATTTGTCACACCACAGAATAAGTTTTGACTGCTCCAGAGTCCAGTGGCGACGCTTTACTCCACTCCATCCAACGTTTGGCATTGTGCTTGGTGATGTAAGGCTTGCATGCAGCTGTTCAGCCATGGAAACTCATGCTATGATGGCTAGGTGCTTGATTTTATACACCTGTGCCAGTGCGACTGAATGAAACACCTGAATTCCGTGATTAAGAGGTGTGTCGTAATACCTTTGTCTCTATAGTGACCAAAACGATCTTAGCTCACTTGCCATGTGTTCACCAGTTTCATCAAGCCTTCTAGGAGAAGACTCAGAGCTGTTATCTTTGCAAAGTGCAGCTGCTATTAAATGAAGGGTTGCCAACAATTCTGGCTCACACAGATTTGCTGATTAAGATTTAGATTTATTTTTTAATCATTGTGCTTCAAATAAAGGTTAGATTTTTGTTAATGTTTAGAATGAAAGATCAAAAGTATAAAACAAGGTGTTTTTACACCGTTTTGGTCATGTTTACCAGGGGAGCCCATATTTGTGGAGGTCACTGTTTTGTTTTATTTTATTTATTTATTAAAAAAATAAAAAAAAACTAATCAAATTCAAATAGGGCATTTGGAAGTTTTTTCTTCTCTTTTTTTACTAAGTGATGTTATCTGTTATGTTACTTAACTTGCGCTTTTTTTCTTTTCCAGGTATGCACCCTCCAAAAGATGGCACATAGACACCATAATGAGGGTGTTAACAACGGCAAGTACATCACTTGCTCAATTGTCAAATGCTTCCATAGTAAATCATAACATGCAGGCAACAATGAAAGCCAGTTTTGTTTTGTGATGATTATACGTGGCTGGGGCCGTGCCAGTGTAAGGTTTAATTAGTAAACCTGCATAACATTTCTGAAACGATCGTTAGCATGTTTGCATTGCTTGCTGTTGAATGATGATTATACTGAGTGATCCATCGACTGAAACAAGAACAGATGAGTTCATTAATTCTGACAACAGCTCATTTATGTCTAATAACTCACGCTTTTTGAAATGGCAGTATTTCTTCATTGCGGTATGTAAGAATACCTTTTGGTCCTTGTAGGCGGGGAGTTATGTCAGAGATGACTCTGTACCGAACCTTATCCAGCTCATCACAAACAGTGTGGAGATGCATGCTTACACTGTACAGAGGCTCTACAAAGCCCTTCTGGATGACATCTCTCAGGTAAAATCGCCACAAAGCTCTGAAAGAGATCATCTGAGGAAGACGTTTCTGCTGCAGAGAGACAAATAAATATATTTTTCGATTGTCTTACAGCAACCACTGGTGCAGGTGGCATCTTGGTGCATAGGGGAGTATGGAGACCTGCTGGTCTCAGGCCAGTGTGAGGAGGAGGAGCCCATCCAGGTAGTCCTACTCACTCTGAGTTTCACTCATTCTCACACGCGCCAACACTATTTTGCCTTGTGTACATGCTAACTATATTCGCTCTCTGTAATCATAGGTTACAGAGGATGAAGTCTTGGATGTTTTGGAAGGTCTCCTCGTCTCCAACTTGTCCACCCCTGTAACCCGAGGTTATTCACTGACCGCCATCATGAAGCTGTCCACACGTTTCAGCAGTGTGAAGTAAGTAATCCTGTTATGTATAGTGAATGTAGATTTAATTTACCCTCTGCTGAATTATTTCGTGATGTCCCCATGTTTAGGGCCCTGTTAATTCCTGTATTTTTTTTTTTTCCTCAGCCGAATAAAGAAAGTGGTGTCGATATATGGCAGCAGCATAGATGTGGAGTTGCAGCAGAGAGCTGTGGAGTACAATGCACTTTTCAAGAAATATGATCACATGAGGTAAAAGCTCAACGTTCCACACACTCACTGATCACTCAAGGCAGCTGATCATGTTTGATAAAACAGGTTTGCTTGCAAACCCTGGTACACAACACCTGCTTTTATTGTAACTATGGATTCAATATATGTTGCTGTAATTACATTTTTTTAGTTATGACTAAGTTAATATTTATGCTGGACATTTGTTTATGGTCAGTAAATTAAGACAATCGACTTGGGGCTTCTGCATCCCACTGATGTTTACTTACTAACTAAACTCATTCCTAGTCTCTTGTTAACCTTTTTATGGGTTTATGATTTACAACTTTGTCTTGTCTCACCTCCAAGGCCTGCCTTACTAGAGCGAATGCCTATTATGGAGAAAACAGCCACGAATGGGCCTACAGAGATTGTACAGACCAATGGAGAGACAGAATCCTCTGCACTGGACTCGAAACACCCACCCAGCATTACTCAGCCAACGAATCAGGTGAGGCATCACGTACTGTTAGATCAGCTACTTATGTAGAGAACTTGTGATTTTTGTTAGATTTGTCCCTTGTCTGTCTGTTCAGCTTGTCCAGTGCATGCTTTAGATGCAGAAATGTGTTCTTCACACGAAAAAAAATCAAATTTAAGGAAAAATAAACAGAGTAGTACATAAATAGATAATTAATAATCTAGATTATTTATTTAGTAATGGTAAAACACTGGAATTTCATAGCAGTGCTTGTGTTCTGTTCTGCAGGCAAATGATTTGTTAGACCTGCTTGGAGGTAATGACGTCGTGCCCGTGATCCAGACGGCTTTGCCCACCAAACCTGCCTCAGCTGGGGGAGAGCTGCTCGACCTGCTAGGGGACCTCTCTCTGTCTGGTAGGCCAGCACTCCGTCCCTGGCCTTGCTCCTGTCACGCTGTAGTTAAAAGTCTACATCAATGTAGACCCCATCTTTCTGCCCCTCCCATGTCGCTTTTGTTTGATCACCTCATAGAGTAGATATGTAGTACATGTTGCTTGATGTCTTCATTGCTCCCCTAATTCCCACCCACACCAGTCTGTTCCTCCACAATCCATAGGTGGTCCAACCCCTGCCCCTGCTCCCTCTGTGCCCATCTCCCAGCCCCCTTTCCTCTTGGATGGCCTCTCCTCACAACCCCTCTTCAATGACACTGCAGCAGGTGAGCTCTCCGCAATGCCCCATTTGTCCCGGTGGTAGTGCCTTTAGACACTGACTCAGCAAAACCTGACAGAAGCAGCCATCATGCTCCAAATATCCTGCTGTTCCTTTGCAGGTATCCCTCCGATGATTGCATACAACAAGAACGGCCTGAAGATTGAGTTCACCTTTGAGAGGTCCAACCCCAACCCGAACATTTCAGTGATCACCATCCATGCCTCGAACTCTACTGAGGTTGACATGACAGACTTCGTATTCCAGGCTGCAGTACCAAAGGTTTGACTCTTCAGCAGACTCTTTTGTTCCATTACAGCCCATACTATCTAAAAACGTTAGCAAATCTTCATTTTTTTTTGTTGTTGTTCACATGCTGCACTGTTGCTCTTTCTCATGGGTGCCCTTGTTTTTCACATGGCGTCTTATTGTGTTTTGCAGACATTCCAGCTGCAGCTCCTCTCCCCCAGCAGTAATATTGTCCCAGCACTCAACCAGGGAAACGTCACGCAGGTCATCAGGGTCCTTAACCCACAGAAGGTGAGGCCTTCAGTAGTCTCGCAAGCCAGACTTCTGCCTATCAGTAGAGAGTCTAGTACTTTTTTTCACTGTGTAACATGGTCATGGCCTAATTTGTCAGGAATTTGACTGACAAGCTGAATAATCAAACACAGCTCCTTGTAGTGTGAGGCGATTTTTCCCTTGCATATATGGCCTGTTCCAAAAGGCTCATTTTTCGTCGCAATGTCTAGTCCAGGCAGCTGTTCGCTATTGCTGACTAGAATCTAGCCGAGGGGGGGGGGAGAGAACCTTTCTGTTCTGTGATGCATGACTATGCAACACAGAAGTGCATATGTACACCGATCAGGCATAACATTATGACCACCTCGTTGCTTCTACACTCATTGTCCATTTTATCAGCTCCACTTACTATATAGGTGCACTTTGTAGTTCTCCAGTTACAGACTGTAGTCCATCTGTTTCTCTGCATACTTTGTTAGCCCCCTTTTACCCTGTTCTTCAGAGGTCAGGACCCCCATGGACCCTCACAGAGCAGGTACTATTTGACACAGCAGTGCTGCGGGAGTTTTTAAACACCTGTGTCCACTCACTGTCCGCTCTATTAGACACTCCTACCTTGTCAGTCCACCTTGTAGATGTAAAGTCAGAGACGATAGCTCATCTGCTGCTGCACAGTTTGTGTTGGACATCCTCTAGTCCTTCATCAGTGGTCACAGGACGCTGCCCACAGGACGCTGTTGGCTGGATATTTTTGGTTGGTGGACTATTCTCATTCCAGCAGTGACACTGAGGTGTTTAAAAACTCCAGCAGCACTGCTGTGTCTGATCCACTCAGACCAGCGCAACACACACTAACACACCACCACCACGTCAGTGTTACTGCAGTGCTGAGAATGATCCACCACCCAAACAGTACCCGCTCTGTGAGGGTCCATGGGGGTCCTGACCACTGAAGAACAGGGTAACAAAGTCTGCAGAGAAACAGATGGACTACAGTCTGTAACTGTAGAACTACAAAGTGCACCTATATAGTAAGTGGAGCTGATAAAATGGACAGTAAGCGTAGAAACAAGGAGGTGGTCATAATGTTATGCCTGATCGGTGTTTAAGTGCATATACTCTGACTGTATATCCAGTCAGAATGCATCTGACAAAATCCCAGTAGTTACGACCAGCTTTGCTTGCAAAAGATCAGACGCTCCGTTTTCGTGTGGGTGGAGCGTCTGCGACCTCCAGTGTATAAAGACTGCGCTTTACTGCTTACAGTCGATGCTTTCTTTGTCGATTATTCTTTGCCATTGCCTGTAGGAGGTGCTCAAGAAAGGCAACTCAAAAGAACAAGAGCTTTAGTGACTTAGTTTAGATGAAATTCTTTAACATTGCCTCTTCATGATTACAGAAAGTTGTTATCAAGAACTTATGCAATAATGTTTCTCCAGTAGTGTTTGAAAACGCCTGACTTCAGATGCCTTTTTCAAAATTACAGCAACAGCTGCGAATGCGGATTAAGCTGACATACACCTACAAAGGCGCTCCTGTTCAAGACCTGGCCGAAGTCAACAACTTCCCTCCCCAGTCCTGGCAGTGATTTTGCTGTCGCTCTTGATCTTAAAGACCCCCACCAAGGGAACTATGGGAAAGATCGCCCTTGCCCATCCCTGACTGATCCCCCTGTGACATCACTGCACATCGCTGCCCTGGGGTTGCATGGGAAGCAGTGGAATCTTCCTGACACACACACACACACACACACACACACACACACACACACACACAAAAGAGTTGATGGTATGAAGACCATGATGACGATTACGATGACAATGATGAACCATCCACCAGAAACGTCTCAGTACATATCCATTTTACTAACAGCTTCCCCTCCTCTCTGATTTGGTCTCACCACAGTTTATGCGTCTTTCTCTGTCTGTCTTTCTCTGGAGTTCCTCCTTTCCTCACCTGCACCCAGATGCTCACCTCAGTGCGCACACGAACACACTTGCCCTTACATGCACCCCAAGCTGGCCCATTCGCTGTCTGTAGATGGAATATACCACACTCATGGTCACTCTGGAGAGGAGCTCGTTGGTATGAGCACTTGTTTGATTTGTCTGTTTTTGTTTGATTTTTCTTTCATGTTTTTAATCTTACCTGTTGATGGGTTGGGGTAATTTTAATGGGGGGGAAATTTTGCTTTGAACTGTATGAACTCTGAATTGCATAGTCTATGAATGTTTGCACCTTGTCCAACTCACTGGCATTTCGGAGTGTAAGCAGAACACGGTTTGTGCTGGGGCTTGAAAATAATCATTTGTGTGGCATTTCATTACCTCTGGAGAGTCGGCTTGTCTCTTTACTGATCTTATGACCTGTAATAAAGAATATCAGATCAATGCTCCAAACAAGAACCTATGTGGTGGCTACGCCGTGTTCGTTCAGAATCATTTGCTGCACCAACATACATTCTAGTGCATTCATCGCTTGACTGCACTCTTACCAAATTTGTCCATAGATGCTCGACCGGTGAGCATCTTGATCACGTGTTAAGGTCACCCAGTGATTATTAACAGTAGTTGTCAGAAAAGATGGCAGTCGAGGTTGAATTGAAACCCCTTTGTGGGTCTAGTCTTATTACTAATTCTGCCCAAATGTTGTATCAGTCATTTCAAAACGTTTGCATTAGATGCGTTTTCTTCTTCCCTTACCTGGCTTTGTACCTCTGTTAGCCAGTATGCTTGTGTCAGAAGACACCTGCTTTTGTGATTTGTTTAGCTGTTCAACGCTGCTAGAGATTTGAACTAGTTATTTGAGCAACTCGCAAGGAACAGCACAGTATATCAGTGCAATTTTTAAAATGATAAAAGCAGCAAATGGAAATTCAGATCAATGCAACAGTATCAACCATAAATGAACCTGATTAGAATTGACTAACAGTGGCCTGCTCACGCAGCGTCGAACCAAGCATGGTCACCGATGTCAACATACACTGTATGTGAGACCCATCATGAATGTAGTTATATGCACTGAATGGATTTCCTAGTTTGTTTGTCTTGTTTCTGATTTCTAAAGACTTTTTGGTTTCTTTTCAGCAGCGATTTTGAAGTAAAAAATTCTTGCCTGATTTTAAAGCGATGTGCCTTTTGCCGAAACTGGTAGAACTGAAGCCCTCGGACGTCTTGAGATTGTCTAGCGGGCGATGCCACAGGAGAGAGAGAGAGAGAGAGCGAGAAGAGGTTTTGTTCTGGAAAACGGAGGACGTTGACCTTTTTCATTTCACATTTAAGTTCTGATTATTCAGAGAGGGCTTCGAGACGGTCAGATATCGAGCGTGTGCCGTAGGTGTGTAGAAGTCTTTGTGTAAGATACGGATCCCAGGCCGTCTCTTTCTCGGAAGACGGCTGGAAACGGTAACCTAAATACCTCACATCTATTATAACTTGTAATTTTTTAAGCTGGCAGCGGAACCGTGGCCGTTTCATCAGATCGTTCGCATGGTTTCAAGCCATCTTGGGGACAACCTTAGCGTTAATAAATGCACCTCATCACTAACAAACTTAACCCAGCTCTCCTGCTGCTCTTCTTTCGAATCTTCATATACACCCAGCGACCAGATTTTACAAATTTAAGATTCACTATGCCTCATTATGAGTTGGTGACCAAATCAGAGATGTGTTCCTTTTGGCTTTGGAAATATTTTTGAGCAATGTTATGTGTATATGGAGAAAAAGACTGCATTCTGTTACTTAATTTTCTTTCTGTCTCTTTTTTTTGGACTTCTGGTTTGTTCTGTACATATTGAGGGCTTTTCAGATGCAACTGTTCCTGTCATCCCTATTTTTCTTTTTCTTTTTTTAAAAAGATATTGACCATTTTCTAAAACTTCCTTCCAGTACTGCACAGTAATCATACTCAGAATCATAGTCTAATTTAACATGTTCCCTGTCTGATTGTTTATTTAGATGAAAATGTATTATCTGCTGCCTGTACATTGTATATAATTGTAAAAGACGACGAAAAAGATCAAATCAAATAAACTCCCGTTTGAAGACCTGTGGAGATTAGTTAGGGCCTGTACTTGTACACAAGTGTAAAGAATCGACTTTTCGTTTTATTTCCTCTCGATTTTGGCTTTGTTTCACACTTCTCTTATTTCCTTTTGCTAATTTACTAGATAGCTGTTCTGATTGCTGGTGGTTTGTGATGCACTACTGAAAGGAGGTCTTGCGATGCAATGTAGGGACGTTCTTTGACCGCTCTGTTCTACCTACTGTGCACCCCCGGCCCCCCCAAGCCGCCACCATCACTCTCAAGCTGCTCACTTTATCAAAACAAACAGGATTTATATAACGCCAGCAGAAGATCATAAGTGAATGACAATTGTCATTTATCACCTCTTCCATATTTCCAAGAAGATACTCCTTTCCAAATATTTTTCTTTGTGCCTCCACAGTTTTGTGAATCCCTCAGTCCTGGCTACACATATTACATTGTAATAAACAATCATTCGCTGGTTTGACTGGAGACCTTTAGAGACAAGCTATTGTTTCTAGTCTGGCGTATTGCATCTGCACACATGCCGTCTCAAGTCTTTGGTCAGTACTGTGTTGATGCAGAGGGTCAGAATGAAATGAGGGACGAACCCTCGTGTCATCAATATTTATCAGTGCAAACCAGCTACCGGATTCGTTTAACTCGTGAGAAATATAGTGTCATCATTCTAACATGATGGGGACGTGAAAGACAAATATCTAAAAGGGCACTACAAGTTGCGTGTACTGAGACCAGATGGGGACGCGAACAGAACTTAGGGAAACCTGCTGCTTTTTAGGCTTATTTTATTCAATCAGCTCATAAAGGTGTGTTACCTACCTGTGCGTGTGTTGGAGAGAACCCGAGGAGCTCAAGAGGTGCGCTGACTCGTCTGGCCGCACCTTCACGCTGTCGAGCATAATTTTTGGCTGCGATGATTTTTCGACTCAGCTTGTGAGCTGCATGTGAAAACTGAGTGTAAATATTGTCATTTTTACTCTTTCTGTAAACTTCCTGTCAAAATGCAAGAGAAGTTCTGATTCTTGAACAAGGCTCATCCCGCTTCCCTGACATCTTGACACAGGCCGAGCTTTTGGAGAAATTTAATGTTCTGTTAACTCGAGTTAATGTTAAGAGTCGGACTCTCTTTCCTGGGCTGGAGGTTGGTGACTATGGGGCCTGAATATAACACCATTCGTTTGGATGTAGTTCTTTGACCAGGTGAACGCTCCATGTATCATATGCTTGGATGATGACCCTCTCCATCCAGATCCCCTCTTTGTAAACTGTAAAAGCTATCGGTTGTTCTTTTTGGACTTGTATCTATACATGTGCCTCCTCCCCAGCCATTTTACACTTGCTATCTGACTACATCCAAACGTGCGCAGGGTGGGAGAGGCGGATATACCCCCCCCCATGAGTTTGACATGCTGAACTGAATCACAGTGTCCCGTGTCTTCAAGGAGCGAGTGCTGGACTGAAAATAATTCATGATGATGATGATGATGAATGAAAATAACTTGTAATCTATTACATGGGATATTTTAGACTTATGCTGTGTATTATTGTCTTTTGGGTTGGAGAAAATGACCACAAGAAATAAAAAAGTCAAAACTAACATTGCATTATGCAGTGTGGTTATTAAGAAGGTATAAACTTGTACTGTCTGATTACTGAGTGCTGGTGCCTTCCTATAAACTGGTTAATGTAGGCCGAATAAAAAAAGGTCAGGAACAATTAAACATCTCCCCTATTTGCTGTACTTGGCCTACCTGGGAGTCTTTCTATGGGAAATTTTCAGGAGGTCTATTTAATTCACTTTGATTATTCTTCATAATTTAACAGTTAAAATGTAAACATAATCTTTCAGTGATTTGATGTGAAGTGTTTCATTCTAGACAAACATGCTGAGTCAGAATTGTTTACAGTGGTGGTGATAGGAACCAGACGTCTGGTGTTTCATACCCATGAAAACTATTACACAAAATACATGAATATGAGTATAATATACTGATGATTCCTGAGACGTTGTTTTACAACAGTTTTGATATAAGCTTTCGTGTTAAAATGTTTTTTTAACACATTCATGGTGGATAGAGACATGCAAGGCCACAAAGCATCCAAAGAGAACTTAGTTTGGGATTTAGTTATGTTTATAAAACCCTTTTCAACATTACATATAAAACCCAGAAGACACATGTAGGTTGACTGGTCATTTTGGGTAGTTTAATAAAACAGCCATACTTTGGGTTGTGCATATCACAATCCCTGGTTCTTACCACTACCACTGTAAAGCATGTCCAAACTGTTTTTTCTGCAATGCACCATTTCGTATAAAACTGCTCGGAATGACTTTATTTATATCTGAAAGATTAAATTATACAGTTTTTAATAAACAGATGGAATCCCCCCTTTAAAGTATTGGAACCAAACAAGAGCCTCGAGAATGATTGGAGTTTAATGCTGCACTACCACCCTCTTGTGGTGAGATATTAGAACTGCAAGATACTCCACAGGTTGAGGAAACGAGGCAAGTTTATTTATATAGTACCTTTCATACACTGTCATTCAAAGTGCTTTACAAATGGGAAAATACAGAGTTGAAAATAGAAATTAAAAACATGATTCAAACAATACATTTAAAAAAAAATCGTTAAAAATCAAATTAGAAATTAAATTGGGATAGTTAGTATCTAAACGCTGCTTCTCCATGTTTAGTCTTCACCTTCGGCAGGACTAACTGACCAGTTCCTAATGATCTGAGAGTCCTGCTTGGCTGCAGCATATGTAATAAATATTCTGCTCCTGCACCACTAAGCAATTTATAGAGCAGTAACAGCTCCTTAAAGTCTATTCTGGAACAGACTGGTAGCCAGGGGAAGGATTTAAGAATGGGGGGGTGATGTGTTCCCTTCTTTTACTCCCAGTGAGACTCTGGCAACTGAATTTTGGATCATCTGAAGCTGTTTGATTGTCTTTTTTGGGGGTCCAGTTAGGAGACCCAGTGATCAATCCTGCTAGAATAAAGGTGTCAGTTTATTCTGAACTACACACTTTAAGAAGATGGTTCTTTTTGGGTTCATTAGTAAAAAAAAAAAGGTACTCTTTGCGTGACTAAAGTGTTATATGGTTTTTGTCATCTCAGTGACACCCTCCACTCCTACATGCTTCAGGAAAGATGGGATCATAGCTTGGAAGAATGACACAGCACTCTGCAGTCCATGTGACAGGTGGGGCCACAAGAGAAAGCAATCCAGCTTTTGTTAATGTGCTTGTGGGTTTACCTTATGAACTTGTGTCCAGTGTTTGCTCCGACTTAGATAAAGTGATTATCACACAGGGTTCAGTGCCTGTTCAGAAGTGGGCCTCTTGTGAAAAAGGAGGATGTTTAGTTCTAATCAGGAAAAATATAGAAAATTAGAAATAATGTTTAACGTCCTTAAAACATGTATTTATTTTGGGAGTGACGGAGGGAGGGATCCTGTCTTTAAATTCAAACTTTAAAACAATAAACAAGCTGATTTAAGCCTTTATATTGAAGGTTGACTCCACTGATTTTTCTAAATTTCTGCATAATGCAATGGTTTGAGATAAACAAAGTCATTCAGAGTGATTTGATGTGAAATGGTTCATTGTAGAGAAGCTTATCGACTCCTGGTGTCTACAGTGCAAATATAGCCATTTTATTTACTATGCAAAACCACCGGTGAACCTGCACATGTGTTCTAATTATTTTTGAGTCCAGATGTAGTCCATCTGTTTCTCTGCATACTTTGTTAGCCCCCTTTTACCCTGTTATTCAGTGGTCAGGACCCTCATGGACCCTCACAGAGCAGGCACTATTTGGGTGGTGAATCATTCTCAGCACTGCAGTAACACTGACATGGTGGTGGAGCGTTAGTGTGTGTTGTGCTGGTCTGAGTGGATCAGACACAGCAGTGCTGCTGGAGTTTTTAAACACCTCAGTGTCACTGCTGGACTGAGAATAGTCCACCAACCAAAAATATCCAGCCAACAGCGTCCTGTGACCACTGATGAAGGACTAGAGGATGACCAACACAAACTGCAGCAGGAGATGAGCTATCGTCTCTGACTTTACATCTACAAGGTGGACTGACAAGGTAGGAGTGTCTAATAGAGTGGACAGTGTTTAAAGCAGCACTGCTGTGTCTGATCCACTCGTACCAGCGCAACACACACTAACACACCACCGCCACGTCAGTGTTACTGCAGTGCTGAGAATGATCCACCACCCAAATAGTACCTGCTCTGTGAGGGTCCATGGGGGTCCTGACCACTGAAGAACAGGGTAAAAGTGGGCTAACAAAGTATCAGAGAAACAGATGGACTACAGTCTGTAACTGTAGAACTACAAAGTGCACCTATATAGTAAGTGGAGCTGATAAAATGGACAATGAGCGTAGAAACAAGGAGGTGGTCATAATGTTATGCCTGATCGGTGTGTATGCAATGTTGAACATACTAACATAATGGAAAATCTGAAGTAAAAAAAAATAGGATTTCTTTGCAGACTATTTTGATCACCCTTAGAACAGCCTTCATGTATCCCTCCGCCATGAATGGATTACAAAAAATTGTTTAAAATACGTTTTAGACCCAAACTTTATCCCAAAAACTACCAGGGCTACAAACGAACTCAGTGCACATATAAACATAGCATCTTATGACAGTCATGCAGTACATAAAGTACATAAAGTGCATTTTATTCATTTTACTGTAATGTGTTTGTAACCCAATACAAACAAATATTACATATATACATAACGCTAATCCGGTGTTCTGACGAGTTGTGCTACCTTGTCGAAATGTCCCACTGTATCACATATTTTTCGCTCTACATAAAACTGGAAGTAGGATATTTCAATGTCCCAAAGTACCCTATCAGAAAACGCTACCAGCACTGAAATCTATAGGATAATTTGATAGCCTACATCTCCTTATCAGAAAACTGATATGCGCATGCTTAGTACTCGATAGGTAGGACAAATTGTTAGAACACCTGGGCGAACCAAAGCTACGTTCACATTACAAGCCTCATTGCTCAAATCCGATTTTTTGCTCAAATCCGATCTCTCTGACACGATGGGTCACACTCCTTTAGGTAAGTGACTCAAATCTGTCATTAATGTGAACAAACCGGCGTCCTGAAATGACCCTCATGCGCACATCCTACTCAGTAACGTCACGTGAATGAATCACGATTATAATTAACTCTGATCAGCTCTCAGCTTCATTATTAGAGCGAGACGAAGGAGAAAAAGGTGAGATGAGCTGCTTTTCCACCGTTTACAGGCTTTAACTTCTGTTCTGCGCTGCTGCCATGGTAACGCTGAATGATGGCGCAGTGGAAAAAAGCGCATGAATTCTGATCTAAACGTTCACATTAAGGTGATATGGCCACGAATCGGATACGTATCCGATCTAGGACCACATATGAAAGTGGCTTTGAAAATATCAGATTTGTGTCCACACAGCCTTGAAAAGATCAGATCTGAGTCACATTAGGGCAAAAAATCGGATTTGTGCCACTTCAGCCTGGTAATGTGAACGCAGCCCAGGTGTCAGTTTCGACCAAGAACGTGCATTGCGTCCCATAACCTTCCTGAATAAAGATTGACAAGTATAGATTAGTGTATCTCTTGTTTTTGTTTATTTATTTATTTATTTTGTTTTCATTGCACAGAAATACATTTTGTTGTATAAGCTGTAAAAGAGCACCTGCTTGGGCGTTAGCGCCTGCATGAATAATTCATGAAATCTGAAGCCCCGGAATGGGCAGTGCCTTATGAATAATAATTAGCCCCGCCCTCTCATGTTTATTGAGCGCGGATCTGACAGCCGTGCGATTCGGTCCCATTATGGCGTCTCACCAAATCAGGATGGGCTTCTTCCGCCGCCTCCTGTGCTGGAATTTACCGCTCGTCAATTGCGACGTTACATCTGGACGTTTCGGGGTGAATACGAAGACGTAAATGTAGGCGAGATGAAGGACGGCGAGAACGCGGAGAGGCCGGCGCAGAGTGCCGAGGCTGGCGGAAAAACCGAGGACGGCGGCCGGGGCTGCGGGGCTGCGTGTCCGAGGCAGGGGCTCAGCGAGGCGGCGGGAGAGCGCGGCGCTCTGGCAGCCCGAGGCGGCACCGGGATACGGGTTTTAAAGGTAGTTACCTGGCAAGCATGTCCACGCTGGTCTAACCAGCTTGCTCCCGACAGAGTGCCGTGAACGCGCAGCGCGCAGGGACGTTCCCGTTAACGAGGGCCGAGGCAGCCTCGATGCGTGAACAGCATCGATAACGCCTCGGCACGCCATTGACCCTCCTTCGGCGATGGTATCTGTCAGGAGCCGGGCTGTCCGTGCGGGTTAGACGGTCACGGGCTTTCGCACCAGCGTGCCGTCAGCGCGTTAACGGTAACTCGCGACATGCTAGCTAACTTACTGTAACAGTCTCCGGTCTAACCTGTTAGCACTGTCGCTAAATCTGTCTAAGGGGGGAAACCTGTGACAGCCCGGCGGAGGAAGGTCTGACTTTCAGAAGGTTCAGAATCATCATTTAGGATTCATCAGTGTTCAGTTATAAACCTAAAACTGTCTATAATAACTGTCTATAATAGGATCCTCGTCGAGGGTCTGACGGGCTTGTATTCACAGCTCTGTGTGCTGGATGTTATGAGCATCACTCCTCGTCGTTTACTGTCTTATGTAAATCTTAGGCCAGACCAAAATGTCCAGTCACAGAGGCCTGTCATCTCGATCTTAGTGTGCAGAGCTACACAGACACAGAGAACACACTGGAACATCTAATCATTGCTGATGGTGAGTCAGCTGGATAGATGGCTGTATTGATAGGTGGCAGCGGCGCGCGTGTGTTGGTGTGTAAAACGCACTCATCTTTGTAATAGCCTGCAGAAGTGTCTTGAGTGCTGGTGGTGGGCTGCTGTCTGAGCTCAGCCCTCGCTGCGCGGTGGGCACTGAAGCAGCAGCCGCAGCCACAGGCGGCCTGGGCCCTCTCTCCGTCTACGCCGGGGAGCCCAGCTCTGTGGGAGTATGATTTCATCAGACTGACTAATGACCTGATGCCTGGCCGCCCGTCTGTGAATCAGGCCTGGCTCGCGCCTCTCGCCAGGGCGTTTGTGCCCTGTGTAAATATTTGGGCCCCAGCAGTCCCCAGTCGGGGAAAGCAAGGCAGCTGGTTCAGACACGGGCTCTGTGTTGCTGGGTGGAGTGCTGGACCATTTCGTGCCACTAATTTGACTGTCAGAAAGTACAGTGAAGGCTGTTGTTTTGCGCTGGTTTGCCAGTTCTTACGCCGATCAGGCATAACATTATGACCACCTCCTCGTTTCTACGCTCATTGTCCATTTTATCAGCTCCACTTACTATATAGGTGCACTTTGTAGTTCTACAGTTACAGACTGTAGTCCATCTGTTTCTCTGCATACTTTGTTAGCCCCCTTTTACCCTGTTCTTCAGTGGTCAGGACCCCCATGGACCCTCACAGAGCAGGTACTACTTGGGTGGTGGATCGTTCTCAGCACTGCAGTAACACTGACGTGGTGGTGTGTTAGTGTGTGTTGCGCTGGTCTGAGTGGATCAGACACAGCAGTGCAGCTGGAGTTCTTAAACACTGTGTCCACTCACTGTCCACCCCTACCTTGTTGGCCCACCTTGTAGATGTAAAGTCAGAGACAATAGCTCATCTGCTGCTGCACAGTTTGTGTTGGTCATCCTCAAGTCCTTCATCAGTGGTCACAGGACGCTGCTGGCTGGATATTTTTGGTTGGTGGACTATTCTCAGTCCAGCAGTGACACTGAGGTGTTTGATCCACTCGTACCAGCACAACACACACTAACACACCACCACCACATCAGTGTTACTGCAGTGCTGAGAATGACCCACCACCCAAACAGTACCTGCTCTGTGAGGGTCCATGGGGGTCCTGACCACTGAAGAACAGGGTAAAAGGGGGCTAACAAAGTATGCAGAGAAACAGATGGACTACAGTATGGGGGGGGGGTCATAATGTTATGCTTGATTGGTGTAAATGCAACAGTGTTTTTATGTGCCTTGTTAAAGTTGGGTGGACTATGGTTTGCACCGATGATGTTATTGATTTCTTGTGTGGTCTGAGCCTCACCCCGCTCTCTTTTCTCATATCCAAGCGTAACATGAAGAGGAACGGCAGCCGCGGCTGTGTGACCAGGAAGACGCGGTTCGGCTCACGAGAGAGGGATTGGCTCAAGGGGGATGCCCAGCGTGGCTGTGTGTGTCTCTATGGGCCCACTGAGCCCCAGGCACCAGTCCCAGGGCCTCAGACCACGTCTACGGCACAGCCGGACCTCAAACTGGTTCTGTGTTCAACCAGCACCACAGCGGAAGAGCTGTGTGCTCAACGTGACGGCAAGGGCCTGTACCTGCAGCTGCACGGAGACCTCATCAGGTAAAAACAAACAGATATTTACCAGTGTCGCTGACTTGCTGCCAACTCCTGAACCCACACATGCAGATTTTGCTCTGACTTTTTAGCAGAGTCACAGTCCGCCTCCTCTCCTTGACATGTAATGCATGATGACAGCTTTCTAGAATAAAGCAGGCCTCCACTAACTCAGCTAGTAATCGGGTTACACCCTTTCTCCTTTCTCTTCCTTTCTCCGTCTGCCTCCCCTCTTGGTTTCTGATGAGACTGGGAAGGGCTTTTTAACTTCCTCTTAGTCTATTTTTGCTGAACGCTTGTTTGTTCCAGTGCTTGGTACACCACCTCGCTCTACACGAGATACTCACTCTGTCGTAATTCTTTATCCTGCTTAGTCAGTGAATGCACTTTACCTCACTCCTGATTGATTTATTAATTTATGAACTGAACTGGTAGTCAGCAATTGCTCATTTTTACATATACAGTTCTAAATGTGGAGTTGCTTAGCGTAGGCATAGATTTGAATAATGTCACTTACATTACAGGAAGTATGTTTAGACGTTGTTACAGTGTTAATAAATGATTAATAATGCATTGTAACTATGTTTATAGTAATTTTAGTCAACGAATCAGCTTTGATCATCACTGGTTTTCATCACTGGTTTTGTGATGCTTTGTATGATTTATTTGTGATTCTGCTACACAGAGTTTAAATCATACAGGGGCAACATTGTACCCGGAAACCAAGTGGAGCAGAATTACATAACTTTATGGCTCAGTTTACTGAGCTGTGAAGATTAGTGCAGTTCACCATAAACCGAAACCCTCGGAAATGCTAGAGTGTTTTACTCATTGCGGTGCGAAAATGTTGGATTATTTGTGGGGTATTATTTTTAATATCAGTGCAGTTTGTTTCATATGGGTTGTAAGGAGAATAGGATGCTTTGTCACGTTTGATAGAGGTAGATTGGGTCGATTGGGAGGCTGTGAGTGTGGCCACGAGGGAAAAAGCTTTCTGAGTGTGATAAGCTGTTTTCTGTCTTGAGAGAGGACTGGCAGAGCGACAGGGCTGTGTGCGTCCCCAGCCAGGCCTATCAGAAAGGCAATCAACCCACAAACCACAGGCGCACTCACAGTGACACACACATGCACGCACATCTGAACGCTGCGAGAAACGTGGTTCGCCCAGGACCGGATGCCGTGGTTGAGCTTGCACGTGTTAACACGCATGCACAACCGCTAGCTTGTGAGAGGAGCCACAGCAGGTTTATGACTTGTGTCGTAAGGAAAAAAGGACGCATTTATGACCACAAAGCTGTAAGACAGAAATAAAAAAACAAAAACCTGCTAAGGTCCAGAACGGTCGCGACGTGGCCTCAGCTCCCTGAAGGACTCTGTGTGTCTGTGTGTGTCTGACTTTGTGTTTGTGATTCTGTGCTTGTATGCACGCATAAAAAGGCCTGTTGTGTCCCAGTGTCCACTTTCTGCAGCGTCTGCGGAGATTTGGAAGGTGTGTCTGAGAGAGAGAGAGAGAGAGAGAGAGAGGGGGAGAGAGAGAGACAGACGAGTCATGCTTTCCCCTTTTTCTGTCCTTGTGAGGATGACTAGCCTGCTGAAATGGATGAAATCACATTGTTCTTCAGGAAGAAGCCCTGAGCTTAGGTTGGAGGCCAGACGGACAGGCTGAGGTAATCAGGAGGGACCCGGTTCATCAGGGAGACTGTTTGTGTATAAACACCTGTGTGTGTGTGTGTGTACATGTGTGTATGTGTGTGTGTGTGTGCTGTACCTGCGTTTTTCCGTCTCCATTTCTTTGCCTTCTCGTAAGCTCTAATGTTCTAGCTTTCACAATTCTGTAATAAACCCTTACTTCTCCCACTCCCTCGTCAACCACCCTCTCACTCTAAAAGCCAGGAGAGAACCTGAGCCAACCGCAACAATCCCTTCTCATCATGACCAATCCACATCTGCTCTATCACTGCAAACGGGCCTTTGTTTTCTTTCTAGGAGCAAATAGGGTGACCAGACCAGAACTGTTCAGTTACGAGACAGCAGAACTGCTTTTGCTGGAGGAGCTGCAAATCAGTTTATATTTAATGTTTGTGCATATTTAATGTGTGTTCTTTTTATTCATATTTTGTGCGTGTTTAAAATAAACGTTTTTGTTGTTTTGTCATTTTAAAGTAAACATTTAGATTTTTATATAAGTACAATAAGGTGAGAAAGTCCAGCCTTCATGTATTTATTAATACCTATTTCCAGTTAAAATGGCTATTAAGTACAAGGTATGCATTTTTCAGTTTTGTTGGTTTGCCAGGTCTTGCACTGTTATTAGGAGTCTCATTTTCTCTATATCGTCTAATAATTTTTTAACTCTTCTTTTTGGAAGCACTTGTTTTTTCATCTGTTTTTCATTGACATTCTCTTCCCTTATGTAAGTGGATTATCTTATACTTAATCTATAGAAATATATCCTGAAATATAATGTACTTTAATGGCCATTTTGACTGGAAATTAAATAAATGCATGATGGTCTTTGACTTTTGCACAGTACTGAATTTAAAGCTAGAAAGTAAAACTTTCCATGTGGTATTTGAAAGTCAGGTCTTTGTCCTGTTCTAACGGTTCTGATTGTGTCCTCCTGATAACCTGCACTGTCTAGCCCGTCGCTACAGCCATTTATCTTTATAAAAGAGAGAGCAGTGCATGGAAATAAACTGCTTCTTGTTGGTAGCAGGCTTCAGGGCACCAGTCAGAGCCTTCTCAGGCTGATAGAAGGGCAGCTAAGGAAGTGCTGCAGGGCCCAGCATGACTAAATGAGGCAAACGTTTAATCAGGTGGATGAAGGCAGTAGCTTGACACAAGAGCAACAGCCATGAGTCTAGACGATCTCTAGAGCAGCAGGAGCTACAGTCAAACCGAAAGAGATGGGTTCTGCCTACTAAACATAGAAGAGACAGAGCTGTAAAGGTGTCCCTGTTGTTTGGGGACGTTTTCATGAGAAAAACAAGAACAACATTTAACAGAAAATTACATAAAAGCCTCAAAAACGAAGCATAAATTCAAGTTTTTTAGTGTTTAGTTTGTCCACCCTTTCCCTTATAACACAGCTTCCACTCTTGCCTTCAGTTTTTCAAAGAAATCTGCAGGGATATCCTTCCACACCTCCAAAGTTTACCTTTAAGTTAACTCCAGTTTAGGAACCCCTAAATAAAAATGAATGAATTGTATTTCATGTTTGTTTTGAGTGGAAATTAACCCTTGTGTGGTGTTGGGGTCTGTGGGACCATTTTTTTAATGTTTACCAAAAGAGGAAATGATGCGATTATTAATTATTTCAACCTCAGATTCTTGGTCTTGGCTTATTTTCTGTAAAGAACATATAAAATAACCCATTTTCAGTGTCTTCACTCTGTTCACCCCCCACACGTTTATATTACACGTGGTTTTGGGTGAACCTGCGAGGAGTAAAATGTGTGTGTCTGTGTATGTTTGTACATATATGTGTGTGTGTGTGTGTGTGTGTGTGTGTGTGTGTGTGTATGTGAGGGTGGACAACATGGACAGGCTGCTGACTGGCTACAGCTGCTAAAGGAGAACCCTACACTGGCTGCTTGTGATATTTTAAACATCTGGTATTTTTAGATAAATTGTTGTGGCTGTATTGATTTAAATAAACAATAATGCGGTGGGTCCAGCAGACCACTGAGTAACACACACATCAACACCACACAAGGGTTGAACAAAGAAAAAGTCAACAAATACAATCAAACTAGAAGACTTCGGTTCTTCCTACCAGACATAGTAAAGGAGAGAGAGCCGTAGAGAGGTCCCTGTTGTTTGGAGACGTTTTCATTGAAGGGACTCATGACCATGATGCTCCTGAGCTGAAATGCCAGTTTGGGTTTTGTGATGCTAATCTTGCACTGTGGTCTGTGCAGCATTATAATATGTGTATCTGATCAGGGACCTCATTTGAAAATTAGCCAGGTTTACCAAGTTGGCACATTTACAAATGTTTTATTAACTCACATTGACCCTGCAAATCTGGACTGATTAAATAGTAAAGTAAAAAGTAAAATAAAAAAATAAGTATAGTACTTGTTATTTATTTCCACTCAAAACGACCAGTTGCTGCAAGTTACTAATTTTTCAGTGTAAGGAAAAAATAGAAGCCTCAACAACAAAACTATGATTTCAAGTTTTTTCAATTTAATTTGTTCATCTACCCTTTGCTTTTACCACAGCTTCCATTCTTTTCGGGACATTTGCCTTCAGTTTTATTTTTCCACATCTCCAAAGTTCATATTTTTAATAACTCCAGTTTTGGAAACTCCTGTTTTTTTTACTTATTCACTTATTTCCCCCTTCCTTGTGCAAGGGATTTGTCTCATATATAAAATCCCCAGAAAAATCTCCTGAAAAATTAATAACTTGTGTTTAACGGTCGTTTTGACTGGAAATTAAACAAACGAAAGACGGTCTCAGGCTTTTGCACAGTGCTGTATGTGTGCAGACAGATTATTTTTTAAATTAAAATATGTACATATTGGTGTTGCCATGCTGTATGTGCTCACTGCAGTTCTGTGATTTCCATTTAAAGTTTTAACATTGCAAAGTCTCAGTTTATGTTACGTCATCCTGTCTCTCTCTCTCTCTCTGTATCTCTGACTGTGCAGGAGGCTGGACTCCTCTGAGCGGCCTCTTCAGATGGTGTATGACTACCTGACCACCATGGGCTACGATGACCCTCTGCGTGTGCAGCAAGAAGCCGCCAACTCGGACCTCAGCTGCATGATCCGCTTCTACAGTGGTGAGTACCGATCCCGGAGGTGCTGCCCATGCCCGGCTCACACTCTTTGGGTCTGGATGCTAATGAGCTCTGGGCCTGCGGGCTGGTTGGCAGCTTGTGGCCCTGGGAGCGGTTTGCCAGCTTTGTGGCCCCAAATAACAGTATGAGCCCAGCACTTATAGCTAGCAACATTTGGGCTTTTATCAGTAAAAAAGGTGCTGGTGTCCCCTCATTTCTGTTGTGCTGTGTTGTGCTTACCTGGTCTGACACAGCAAAACTCCTTCGGGTGCTGCAGTGTTGTTAAAGCTTTCTTACCATCCCCCTCTTGCTTTCCTTTAAACCCCACAGCTGAGCTACACTCTTTGCGGACGTCATGCTTTGATAGGTATGCTTATTGCCTCGTGTCAAAGGAATTGTGAGTGAGATTCAGGATTCCTGCTGCCTCTTTATGTCACTAGAAGGAGACTGAGCTTATTACAATGTGGCTTTCATTCCTGCAGCCGTCACACGGCGAGAGCACCGGTCTGTCTGCGTGTGATTAGTGCGCTAAGCCGCGTTTATAGTTTTTTCCCTCGTCATATAGAGTTTTTCCTATTGCTGGCTTATCGAGGACTTCGTGCCTGAGGGTGGGGGGGGGAGCATAGTGGGTATATGTAGTTGCTATAGCGTAGTGGGTAACATCTCTGCCTTCCACGCTGTAGGCTGGGGTTTACCAATAAGAGTCCTTGGGCAAGACTCCTAACACTGCCTTCATCTGCCTGTGTAAAAATGATCAGTTTTAAGTCGCTCTGGATAAGAGCGTCTGCCAAATGCCATAAATGTAAATGTAATAAATGTAAGCAGCACACTTAGAATAGATATCTTACCATTTATCAGGATATGACCCTCTCACTAGCTGTGCAACACTGTGATTCGCAGCACAGCGGTGAGCAGTAAGTATGCATCAAGAACGATAACCGATAATTAACATCTTGTTGTGGCTGGTATGGATACAACTAACTGATAATTTACATTTTTCTAACAATAAAAAACATTTAACCCTGTCTGTATGTGAAGCTCAGTGAGTGTGACTCTAAAGGCTACGACACAGCTAAATTAGAATGACAGTTAGTGTAAACATATTATTTAATATTTAATGTTGTTTATCAGACATGCTTTTTTAGAGCCACTTACATTGGTGGGCGAATGTAGAAGCAGGTCGTCCAGTGACTTTTATCATAGCAGGGGCATTCCTGCCTGGAGGGGGAGTCGAACCACAAATACTACCCATTTCAGTAAGTTGAAAAGGTGGAAAAGCCAGCACTAAAAGCCAGGGCATGCGAGCTGAAACAGTTTATTGGCCACAGGTATATATTAGACAACTAGGGCTGGCTCTAATAATTTTATATTCATTCATTTATATTCATTCATGTTGGGATTCATTTACTTATTCATTATTCAGAAGTTTCGTTTTTTGTTAACCTATTATAAAACGGATCGTTCCGGTCCTAAAATCTGATTGGCTGAGCCGCGTTCGAAGCCATTGTAAAATCCACGATATACCACTCCTATGACCGCCTCACAGCAACTGAACTCTGTATCACTGCGCCACGGCACGACAATCCTTCTGCTGTTGATGGATTAATCTTTGACTCTAATGCTGCTCGCACGGAGCGCCGAGTGAACTGATGAAGTAAGAACCCGTTTTTGTTTAAACTGAAGGCCTGAAAAATTATTTTCTTTACTAGAACTGGGCTGGTCAGCTAGCCAACAGGCTAAAAGATAGCAAACATGCTAAACAACTCCATCATTAATATCACAGGCTTGAATTAAAGTACTTACGGTATGATTCACTGAATAACGGCAAAATAAAAGTCTAAAGAATGTCACCTGAATGTTTTACATGCTTCAAATGTCCATGTTTCAGTCAGAAGTCGAACCCAGACTGAATCCCAAACGGCTCCGTACTCCCTAAATAATCTGCTGTTTAACATTACATTTAGAAATTCTAGCTTCTTCTGTCAAACAGTGACTGCTTGTCCAGTATCAGTGTAGATGAATCCCAAATAACCATTTTTAGTGATATTTTGCTCCGTTGGGCTGCAGGAGTCAGTATTTAAATTCCTATGTAGTGCACTGTGTAGGGAGCAGTGAGCCATTTGAGATTCAGGCCCAGTGTGAGAAAAGTGGCGTCGTCAGACTGACAGACGACTCGCGGTGATAATCTGACAACCAAAAACACTTATAAACTGAAAGGATTTGCATTGAACAGTGCTGTGTTATCATATGTTTACTGTTATATGAAAAAAAAGGTTTAAAAAATCATGAAACATCTGCAGTTTAGAGTGATGGGCGACCAAGTGTCCTTCTCCTCATTCAGCGGTCAATGGTTGTTTGGCAACGATACCGTACTCTGAAGGAACTACATTTCTTGGCGGAATACTTGTTTATGTTGATTATTATTAATAATAAATTAAATAATTATCTAACACATTGTGTATATTAATATATATTTTATGTTGGCTGCTGTTTTATAAAAGCATTGAGCCACTCGAGGCAGTGCGTCACTGCGATTTTATCACGGGGAAGGGAGTTCAACTCCGCTTCGGTAAAACTAGAGACTTATTTTTCACTGTTTTAAACATTTTATTTGAAAACGAGGAGTAAGTGCAATCACTGGGCGTGATTTATGGATTCATTTCTCTTGGCATCTTTAAGACGTTCATGGTAAAAGGAGATGTATAAATGTGCAAAGTATTTTTTACAAATTGAAAACTGAAAATAACTGGTAATTTCCATTTTTCTAGCATTAAAAAAAGTTAACCGTATCTATATATGAAGCTCAGTGAGTGTGACTCTAAAGGTTTATTTTAAATAGCCATGACACAACTAAATTAGAATGACGATTAGAGTAAATATATAGTTTAATATTTTATGTTGTTTATCAAACATGCTTTTTTATAGCCACTTACATTGGTGGGCGAATGTAGAAGCAGGTCGTCCAGTGACTTTTATTATAGCAGGGGCATTCCTGCCTGGAGGGGGAGTCAAACCACAAATACTACCCATTTCAGTAAGTTGAAAAGGTGGAAAAGCCAGCACTAAAAGCCAGGGCATGCGAGCTGAAACAGTTTATTGGCCACAGGTATATCAGACAACTAGGGCTGGCTCTAATAAATTAAGTATTCATTCATGTTGGGATTCATTTACTATTTTGATTAATAAAACAGAATTTATATACTTATATAATGTCATATAATAAAATGCATTTTATGTTTAACAGTTAGCTTAACATTATTTGTACATCCTTATGTTGTTTATATTTATTATACAGCAGTTAGTTCCGGCCACGCAAGCTGATTGGTTGAGAAGTGTTCTAACCGTGCTGTTATTTCGCCATAACATCACAGGTTTTTCACAAACACTGTATCACTCCGCTGAGACGCCGTTGCTAAGCAACAGCTTTGACCACTGTAGGAGGCGCTCAAGCCATTTGAACGTTTGTACTTCTTACTTTGCCACAAACAGAAAATGGACACTTTTAAGATCACATTTGACCGACAGCCGATTTGGTCAGACTCTGAAGATGAGACGACACTAAATTCCCAAACTGTCATCACCACTGAGCTGCGTTCGGCTGTCCAGTGACGTTGCGTGAGCGGCAGTTCGAAAAGAAGCGGTGGCTGGTTTCACAGGTCTCGGAGGAAGCCTGTGTTAGCCTTCACCCTCCTAGCGTTGATAGCATCGTGTGATTGGGGGAGTCCTAACTTGTGGGTGGAATTGGAGACAACTAAATTGGGGAGAAAAATCGGGTAAAAATAAAAATATATATATTATTGTTTTAAGGGTGGTGTTGAGAACGAGTATTCGAGTACTCATTCGAAAACACCAGCGACTATTCAAAACCTGTAAAATGCTATTCGGGTTGTCCCTACGTGTGTCACTAGTAACCAGTGCGTGGAAACCTGGCGAGTTGGGCCGGTGGCTGTGCGACAGCCTCTGTGGGCATGAGTAACACACATCTTCACTTGGTCCAGGATGCTGAGCAAATGCCCATCTGTCAGGGCAGTGGTGGAGAGGGCATGCTATTCCTCATCCCCAGGTGGCCTGGCCCTGTCAAGGCTGCCGTGGTGAGCTACAGCCCCACATGACAGCCTGATGGATGATTGTAGAAGCTGGACGGATGGCCTGCACCGTCTTCATTTGTACACCGCAGCCTTCTGGGGAAGGTGGGCACAACACATTAGAGTGATGTGGACTGAGTCCTCAGAGACACACACACACACACACACACACACACACTCTCTTAAACGCACAGCGTGCCAGCGTGCAGCTCTAGGCAGGTCTAATGATCCTCTTTAAGCTGCTGATAGGCTTTGGTTTGAGAGGAAACAGGGGACCTGATGTTCTGTAATGCTGCTCCTATTAATAACCAGACTGGGAGAGTGTGTGTACGTGTGTGGTGCTGAGTCAGTGTCACACTGAGTTGCCAAGACTGTGATGGCAGCACAAGTGACCAAAGAGAGAGAAGCGGATACTTGGAAGATTTTCCGCCTGGTCTCTTTACGCTGTGCTGTAAAGGAATTTACATGTAATTTATGTCCAAAATGTCATCAAGATATCCGGTATCTAAATCTCAGCAATGCCTCCTTCCTACGCAGAATGTGAATGCAGGGCTGGATGTTTGAATATAATGAGCTTGTTTCCATGTGCATGGCAGAAAGGGAGAGACTGCTGGCTGTCCTGAGGCTGGGCTGGTGCCCTGTGTGCTGGCCAGGCCCTGGAAGATTTGCCATGGAAGACAAGTAAGCTTGCACTGGCACCTCTGAATGAGCTGTCACTGGAGGGGCTTGACTTTGGGATCAGTGCACAGTGCGTCCAGGGTCTGTTTACGCCTGGCTTTTCATGTGGTCAAGTGCAATATTGATGCAAAAAACACATATTGATGCAAAAAGTTGCAACTAAGCTGGTCTTCAGAAGTTACTTTGTACCAACCCCATTTCCAAAAAAGTTGGGACGCTGTGCAGAATGTAAATAGAAAT